AGTGCTAACTGTGATGAATGCTAGTCCTCCCAAAAAGTCAGAAATCTTATCATGAGTTTATCTAAAACGTATAGCTATGTTTCCACCCAAAAGGGACAGGCGTCATGTCCTTGCTCTTGTGAGCGCTGATTAATACTGCTGATGACATTAAAAGTGGGAAGGGGATTCCGAGACAGCTTCGGCTAATTTTATTTCCTAATCATGATCCCATCTGGGTCGTGGAATAACAGGGCGGGGGACCGCTGGCGCCTCCAACTAACTTCGGGGAATTTGGTCTTGCCTATGGAACACTGCGTTTATTCAACAGATAACAGAAAGAATTAGTCACCTTGTGAATCCTTAGAAAATGACGACACCCATCCTTAGAAATAAGGCGTGCTGGTGGGGGGCCCTCCCACCACCACCACCGACAAAAACACCAAAACAAAACTCCTGCCTGAGTGAATCCGAACAGGGCTCTGAATTTCTGCAAAAGAATCTATTGAACTCTATTGAGATACTGAGATTCAATGGATCCGTTTATTTTTCTTTATCTGTGGCTTCTCTCGTGTTGCAGGCGGAAATGAAATCTGCTTTCAGACGGGTACGGTCAAAACAAATCGGAACTTGAAAGGTCCGAGTATTGGAAACTAATTTCATCGCCCGGGGCTGGGGGAGTGTCAGGCTGCGCGCGCGCGCGCCCGCGACCTCAGGCAGGTGCAGTACGGCGCCGGGCCGTGGGTCGCAGCAGCCTCCTGCGTGATTTTCTCAGAGTTTGCGCGCCCACAGGGACTTGGGACATCGGGTCTTCCTCTGGGAAAAATCACGCGCCACCACGCTGCGCCCCGGCCGACCTTCGCGCGCTGCGATTCCGAATAGGGACCGCGTGGAGTTAGGTTGGGCAAAGGCTGAGCGCGGATCAGCCCCCTCCAGTGGGGCAGGAGTCGCGAGCACAGGGGTCCCAGGTGGGGCGCCCAAGTGTCCTCCCTCGGCTCCACGAGGGGTCCTGGTCAGCCCTTTGGGAAAATCCGAGGGGTCTCTCGGCTTCTTGGCCTTTGCAGCTCCGGCTGTGGGTTCTTCCTGCGGAGCTGGAGGCCGCACGTGCTCCAAGTTACCCTATCCGGGTGTGCGGGGCTGCCGTCGGGGCGCGCGGCGGGGGTTTCACGGTGACCTTTGCCGAGGCTCAGAGTCTAAGCCAAGGCAACAGGGAATCTGTAGATAGCCTGAACTCGGAAATTAGCGCCAAAGCGAGGAACTGCGGCGGAGACATTAGCTCCTTGGGGGTGGCGAGGGGTACAGGCAGCTCCGCAACTCCCTGAAGGAGGGGGCCAAGTCCAGCAACGAGCTTGGAGACGTCAGGAGGGAAACTGTCAGCGCCCACCCTTCCATGCTGCAGGCCCCTCTTTGGACTTCACAGAAGGCCCCATCCCTGGCCCTC